CCCAGGTTCGAGCCCACCTTTAACTGGTTTTTTATAACCCACGAGGAAAATTATGAAGTATATCTTAAAATAGATCAAAATCGCTCTCATCCGAATTCTTTAATATATTTCATAAATGTTATCATGCCATTAAACACTATAATCTCCGCATATGATAATTCACATACAAATATTTAAGAAGTTGGTACTCTTGTGATATTTCTGTATTAACGTTTTATGGAGAAAAAGATAGAGAAACTAAAACAACCAGACAGTATTAATGAGCCTGCTTCAGGTCCGCAACATATCCAAAATTACGCGGAATTTTATTACGTCCGATGTGGTTCGATAAACATGTGGTGGAGTGTGTACCTATCGGAGACCTTTCCTACAAACGAGTGACACCAGACGGCCATTGGTGACCACACATGACATCTGTGTCAAGTCACTCTTTTATTCAAACTGGGCAAAAGTATTTTGTACTTTTTGTGAAACACTTCTTCGTTCAATCTGCAATTACATTTTAAAAATTGCAGACATGAAATTAAGATGGACAGATAAAGATTAATAATTGCAAGAGCTATACTGTGAAGCTTCTCATTCAGCTTGCGTATTACACTACGGAAGGCTGCTTAAAGGCCACAAATTTGTGGCTGAAATTTATGAAGTGTTGAATAAGCCAATGACTCATCCGACAAATTTTGGCTGCACTTCACTCAAATAACAAAATGGAGTAGAGCACTTCCTGAAAAAGCTGGTGGTCGCTCAAGTGGTCAAGATATTCCCCGTCTTGTCCGGAACTCTGGGGGTCTTAACTGTCTTTACTGCACCCTACTTTGGGCCAAATGAATAAGACAAAATCCTCTCAATATATTTCTTATGATCCATTCTGTTTTAAAACCTGGTCTATTTAAAATAAGTGTTGAGCAGAATATTTGTGTTTGTGATAGAGCAACAGAGGAGACCCGATAGTTCAACTCCCGCCTTTTCGATGTCCTGATGAATCCCAGGAAATTTTCGTTCCTGCTTACAGTGTCTAAGTCCCCTGTATTTTATTTGTTTAATTGATTTTTTAAGTTATATTGATAGGAAGACTCTGATTTTCTTATCATATAAGTAAACATGTACTACTATCATTGTAAGATTATTATAAAATTATGCACATCGTAAATTGTCTTCCTTTTCGTGGATTCGAGATCTGGTCGAGTTTTTAGTTAGTTCGAGATGACCTCGGTTGCATTCATCTCCATCTATCGACAGTCTACTGCAATTGCATAGTGGCAGATTTACAAGCAGTGCTCTTGTTAAAGGGACTAAACGAAGAAAGGGACTTGATGAACATGAAGATTAATGTCCTCTGGGTTTGGCGCAGTATGATTTCCAATATAGGTACGAGTACTAATGTTTTGAAGGAACGTCCTGTCTCAGTTCTAAATTTACAGACGCATGCCGGTGATCTATAAAGAATTATTTTAGTAACTGCTTTATATGGGTGAGGTACGATATTTCTTATAAAGAAATGTAAAATTACCCCTGTAGCAGGGCATGGATTCCCATACGTTTATAACACCTCGAAGCTCCTATGTTTTCTAGAGACTCAGTGGCGGTGAGGCGATGGTGGTGAGGTCAGCCTTACTCACCGGCCACCCTTTACCCCCAGGAACATTCCTGGTACTCATTTCTCTCAAAAGCAGGGTCAACCGCAGGGCCATAGTAGGGCTGGAATGATTAGGTCAATTGAAAATTGCAGTGGCCTCATCGGAAATCGAATCTGTGACCATCCGGCTTGTAGCGTAGTGCCTCAACCAACTACGCTACCGCGTGCCCCCATGTTTCTCATTCTTATTCGAAACACAAATAACAGATAATTAAAAATGATGTGTTGAGTAACGTACGAATATGAACGGAAGCTACTCGTACAATTTGACGGATTCTTCCCTTCAGATAGAGGCACCACATGGTAGTTGCTATATGCTAAATTGCAAGGCATTACATCCCAGCGGATATTGAGATTCTAGTAAAGGACAGGGTCATATGTAGAAAGTAAAGCACGGACGGGGAAGTTACGAAAAACATAAACCTTCTTAGCCCCCCCTCCCAGAAAAGTGAAATGGATGTACCACTTACGAAGTCTGGACTTGGATTGTAAGATATTACCGAAATCAGTATTGGAGAAATCTACTATAAACATATGAGTCGAAATGAAAATATTAAATTTAAGACTGAATTAAGTGCTTTTGTGAATGTGGTAATGAACATTCGGGTTGCATTAGAGGAACCATCTACATACATCTCAAGTCTCTAAGAAATACTTCATTTCAAGGAGTTAATTGTGCTCAGTCTGCTCTTGGATGAGGTTACATCATCGTCAGTGACACAGCGTCGCGTCGCGTCGCGTCGTCATTAGTAAGATTTTCTTTTCTCATGGGGTGAGTGTTAGCCCACTTGGTACTGCGGCCACTGTTTGGCTTATTGTACCAGTCCCAGATGATAGATGATAACTGATGATTGTGGAGCAAGTGGTGGAATGCTAGTTAGCAAGGGACACCGAAGTAGTCGGAGAAAACCTGCCCCCAGTGCTACTTTCTTTTTCCTTGGCACTACAGCCCCAGTGGGCCTAGGCCTACCTCCATGAACTCCGTTCACTTCGGTTTTTCTAGATCTTACACATTCGGTAGGACTCCTTGGGCGAGTGATCAGCTCGTCGCAAGGCCTCTACCTGTACACAAACATCCATGCCCGGAGTGGGATTCGAACCCACGATCCCGGCTTCCGAGCGAGCTACGACAGTGCATGCCTTAGACCGCTAGGCTACCGTGACCAGCCCAGTGCTACTTAGTCCACCACAAATCCCACATAATCTGACCCGGGCTAGAATCCGGGCCGCCGAGTTGGGAAGCCGGCGACTAACCGCCTGAGCTATTGCACGGCCTCATTAGTAAGTTCTTAGATACTATTTTCTGCACACTTTCGATATGCGTACCCGGTAGAAAATTTAGACTTGTTTAAATAGAAATGTTCTTCTTAAGGTTTGCTTGTACGAAGTGTAACGTGCCCTAGTTCGTAGAGTCAATGGACGTTAATCTTTTGCTTGCTTCGGAGGAACTATGTCACCTTTAAACTGTTTTTTTCTTCTTGTCCTCTCTATATCTGTTATATGTGGGATTATCAATGTATAAAATTACTGGTTTTGTTTGGACATTATGAATCGTCCTGTTTTTAAAACGAGTTTTAAATAAAAAAAAAACGTAGCGGTTGATAATTTCCAGAAAGTCAATAGTTGTAGTAATGTCCTATCGTCACGAACTTTTAAAATTTATAATGAATGAAAATGAACCTGATCTGACATCTCTAGGTAATTTGGAATAACGATTTATAATGTCACGCAACCCAAATGTGTTACCATGAAAATGCAAATGAAGAGAGAGTGTCTGCTTGAGACCTAGCGGGAAAGTGTTATCCAGTCTCTGTATGGCGGTAAGGAGGAACCCCAGTCCTTCCCTGGACTCAGTACCAATGAATCGACCTGTGGATCTCAAGGGGGTTCTTCGTCGGGTTATTTCTTCCGTTTAGACTGTTATACCACATCAGTTTACGTTAGTGTAAACCTCAAGGCTGCAACGCTGCAAGGAATTTTCGACTATTCTGGACTCTAATGACTCTACATACTATATATACTAATTTCAGAAACTAATTTTATCTGAAGATATAAGATTCGAGGATTTCACGGCGGTGACTATGAAAACTGCTGTCTTCTGAGATGTAGTGCTGTGTAGATCTTGTGTTAACCGACGTTTCGGAGGAACATATCGCCTCCATCTTCAAGGTAGGAAATCCTCCAGTGGAGTATCAATCTGCAGCCACCCGCTTACACTGGTTCCTCGCTCGCTGATTTTTCTACCCCGAAGATTGAAGCGATACGTCTCTCCGAAACGTCGGTTCACACAAGATCTACACGGCGTCGTATTGCTGAAGACGGCATTCTTCTTACTTGAAATTGCTTAACGCGAATTGACATGCGTGGTAGACGAGAATGCCTGTCCACCTGCGTCACCTCCAAAATTAGCGAATCTAACGTCTGATTTACACCATGGAACATATTGAATCCGTATTGAGAAGCTGACACTTTGTCAGCTGGTTAATAGATTCCTCGGGTTTTGTGGAAACCGAAGATCAATCAGCATTTGCAGAAGAGCAGGCCACTGGACCTTATTCTGATCCATTTGAAAATATTTCACACCGTCTCATACAATTTATTTAAGATCTGTTTTAATACTATATCACCATATATCTGGTTCTACAAAGATTTCTCTTTATTTCAGTTTTTAAAACTAAAATTATCATCCACTTCACTTCTCCCCTTTATGTGTTAGATGTTCCATTTTTCTGATCATCCTTGATTTGACGATCCTCAGTTGATCAGACCCTGTTAAGTACACCAAGAAGTTCTTCCTTTACCGGGTTTCTTAATAATTAAATATCTTATTCTTGTTGTCATGAGTGGTTGGCTGATTAACTAACATATTCACAATTAGTTCTCATATATTTGTTATTTTTCACTGAGATTCTAAACTAATATAACATTTGTCAAGTGAGATCTAATTTTTTGACTACGTGTTTAGTCAGGTAGTCAGGTATCAACGTTTCGGAGAAATTTACTGCCTCAATCTGCGAGGTTTGCAAAATATCAGTGCTCACCTACCAGATTACACACGATATAATGACCTAGAGGAAAACACCTCCTTGAAGACTTCAAATAATGAAAGTCAATTTTGTCATTATTATTTTATACAGATCTTAATCATTGCACCGTCATAACAGTAATTAGGTGTTAGTACTTTTGCTAACTCCTTAACTTCATTGATATCATCAGAGCCTCTGTTTTCAAAACTGAGGTGCCCCTTGTAGATACCAAATTTGGGCTGAAGTAGGAAGACTCTCCACTCCTCTAGCTCTGTACAGTAGTGTTTGTATGTTACTGTGTGTAATAAAGCATTAGTGTTTGCATTTGTTTTCCGCAGCGCTCGGCTTCGAGCCCGACTTCCTGTATCCGCTGGAGAACGTCACGATAGCTCAAGGTCGAGACGCCATGTTCACGTGCGTCGTCAACAACCTGGGCGGATACAGGGTGAGTGCCGACCTCGCCCCAGCCAGGGTACGTGCTCTGACCCTCTATTTCTCACATTCTCTCACTCTCCCTGGCTCTCTCTCTCTGTATCTCTTCCTGTGTCTAATTTGTGAATTTTCTCGCACAAATGCACACATTTGCACAAAGTGAAATACATAGTGCTTCCAGTGTCCGAAATCATTTAAACATTTAACTTTTATGAGAATAAGATTGCTCTAATATTACCAGTATCAGCACCGCGCTCTGTCTGTAGTTACCGTTGTAACTGTTTACTCGGCACGTAAATAAGAGAGATTTTATTTTTTCTGTTGTTGTTATTGGGGAGCCGGGATAGTTCAGTCGGTATGTCGACTGGCTACGTGCTGGACGGCCGAAGAAATGGAGTTCAATTCCTGATAGGATTAAGAGATTGTTCTCAATTGCACAGGGTTCAGACAGGCTCTGAGGGCCACCAAGCCTACTATTCTTTGGACAGTGGGGATCCTATCCCCGGATATGAAGCGGCTGGAGAGTGAGGCTGAGGTTAGGAATGGTGGAGTTACAACTCCACTCCCTGTTGCGCCTTTATGGCATGCTGCTTAATTAATTGGGCGCAAGGAAAATTTAACTTGTGTGTTTAATAATCGTATTAATATCAATCCTTTTCATTTCTTCTTGTTGATAGTGCACTTCTTCCATTCTCGTTTGAAATAATAATAATAATAATAATATAATAATAAAGGAATAAAGGAAATTGATTAGCGACACTTAATTTAGATATATAAATTATTATTATATTATATTATATTATTATTAAATTATAATTGAAAAATAATGTGTACTTTAATAAGAGAGATGTTTCTCTGAAAATTTCATTTTTATTTTTGGGGAAATACAGTTCGGTTGCAAAGTAGAGTTAGCGTAATAAGAATGTATAATTATGACATATACTACTTTGTTAAAGAGGGTATACAAATTTTGCATGTTCATTTGTTGATATGTGTATATTTCTTTTACGAAACGTTAGAAGTTATTTGCTGATACTCTCGCTCCTGAATAGTTTCTATTGTCACGAAGTTACAATTTTGTATTTTATAGTGGTGTCCATAAATTTTAGCAAAACAAACTGCTTCACCGCTTCATCAATTCCAAATCATTTGTATAATTCTTTTGATTTCTTCTCGATTCAGATTTGTGTAACTTCGTAATGCTTATCTGTAATTGTAAGATTGAATAGCTCTTAAACATATGTGACTTTTTCAATCGTTTCTTCTCAGCACTTCATTTACGCCCCAAGGTTGTGAGGTCCTTATTAACACATCACTTACATTGACCTATTATCTCATTTTATTACATGTTTCGATCTGTCAGTGTTAGCACCATCGATTAATAAGCTAACGGAGACTGTGAGCTGGTACACTGCTAGATTTTATAATCCATTATGATTCATCGAATTCTTAGCTTCGTTGTTTAAAACTGGGTGTTGAGCCATGTGCAAACCTGCACTACACCAAACAACATAAGGAGAGAACCAGTACACTCGTATACTGAGAACAAGTAGAAAGAGCTAGGTAAAGCTCCAGTTTTAAACTAATGTCTTAGTTGAATGCAAACAAATTTATATGTTCAAGCAATATTTGTTCAGCTTATGTTAGGTCAGATTGATTACTTTGATTAGCGTAGCTCATTTTGTTTTGTTACATCGCGTTAAGTTAGGAGCTCGATACTTTCTGTCCCACGCAATTGTTTCATCTCGAATTTGACATATTGCCGTTATGAAAACCGGCACAGTATAGACTGTCATGTGCAATGTGTAAAAGACCAAACATTTCAGCAATTCAACTAAGCGTTTTTGTTGTTTTGCACAACGCCAATTTCATGCAATTCATGCAAATTATTATTAGTCAAAGCGAAAGTCTTTGTATCATTACACACACTTTTCAGTTATAATTGCAGTGTGTAGAATTTTGAATGGCGAATACTTTGTGTAGGTTGGGTAAGACAAGAAATTCCAGGAATATACCGATCCCTCTGTACTCGTATATCTTTATAAGGGATCTCAAAGAATATAAAATGGCCACATTTAAGAACTGGATCCATAGACTGTACAAAATTAGGGGTAAATATGACATACCAAAACAAGGAATTCAGTACCATTTTAAATATAGCAGAAAATAACAATTAAAACAAAAAACAAATATTAAATATTAGGACACAAAAGCAAATAATAACACAGGAGAAAAGTAGGGAACGTTTACCTGCTCGGACAACTAAGTCGCCTCAGTCATAACGCTATTGATTAACGTATTTATTGTACATAGTCTGCAGAATCTGCAATAAAATTTATGTTCAGCAGTTACTGGCTCGTGAATGAGTTATACCCAGTGGTGTAACTCATATACTCTTTGTTTTGTTCACTTAATTATCATACTAATTCTTGTATTGTGGTCTTACTCAGGTCTAGTAGGGTTAGGACGGTGTATCGTTTCAGTCTATGTGTAGTTCCGATATTGTCTAGTAGGTTCACTGCTACTGCATTGGTGTTCTTTTATAATTTTCTTAAGTATTTTGTATTCAACTTCTTTATTTCACTGAGCACTGTGTTCAGTTGTAGATCATCACGGATCCTGTGGTTGTTTATGTACCAAGGTGTTCAAAGCTATTTAGAAACAAAAGTAAAATTAACCTTTATAAAGCCATACAATCGGAAATATGCTTAACGCAGTACCCAAAACCAGCAGATTTGAACACGCTTGTGTATAGCCTAACAGCATAGATCATACATTGGACAAAAGGGATGTTCCTTACGCATCATATACAATGAATACACACGATACATAAAACAAGACAAAGAGGATTCTGGATGTGTGCACATGTGCTACAAATGCACACCACTAAGGAACAAGAGAGGCTATTATGGAAGAGATCATCGACTCTAAAATCTTAGGATTATGAATATATTCTTAAGAGAAAATTTTTAATGTATTCATACGAAGATACCAACATTTTAGTAGACGAACAAGAGGCAAAAGGAGACGATGATAACAAGTTCTGGGAAGAACTAATCGCATACTTTCCTATCATTACAATCTGAGTATTTGATTCGACAAATGGAGCAAAAGTTTATTATTTATTTGTAAGAAAACATATAAAACAGTAATATAAACTGTACCATGTTTTTTTGCAGAATGCGCACTCGCGTGCAAGGAATATACCGTATTTACGCATGTATAGGCCGCACATTTTTTGCCAAAAATTCAAGAGGAAAACTGGGGTGCGGCTTATATTCGAAATATTCGAAATCACACTTCATTTAATCATATTCATTTCGGAATAATTTCTACTCCTGAAATAATATTCCAAGAAAATTATTTTTTCTATAATTTCTGTCTGAAAATTGTGCTGCGGTCTATACTCGCACGCGGCCTATACGTGCGTAAATACGGTATATATCCACAATAGTATATATTTTCGGTCTCCCATGGGGCGTCCCACTCACTAGCACTCACTCTGCTGGGTTGTACACTACAGCCTCAAACAGGCACGACCAACGAGTAATTACTGTTCATTAATAATGTTCAATGTAAAAGTAACATAGAGCTGAATGGACCAAATGTTTGCAGACGGACATACATTCCACATTACAACAGTCGATAGAATGTTCTCCCTAACCAAAAATAGCAACGAATGGCTTCGTTGTACGCATTTTGCTATCTGCTCGACGAGATATGCTATCCTTCTAGCCTAACCTAACGTGCTACCCTTGACATTCATGGCTTATTGTAAATGTGTCATCTATTTAGTCCTAACTTTCACGAATATTAAGATTCCCGCAGGAATGCTGTAGAAACAAACCATCTGTAAACAACTCATTTCAAGTGGTTCGTTTAGAGTGCTGACTCTGCCTTCCGATAACGACCGGTAATGGCTCAAACATGTAAAGACAAAATTTTTACTTCCTCCTACTAAATTACTGTGCCGATCACAGTGGCCGCGCGCCCTAAGGCATGTAATGTCTTCGCTCGCTCGAACACAGGGATCATGGTTTTCAGTCCCACCCAAGAGATGGATTCTGCGTTCATTCTTTGTTTGTATTAGGCTAAAAACACAGTGACGTGACTAGTCGAGGGGGGCTAGCCGCTCTTTATCTCGTACGTCCGTTAGTTGTATTAGTGTATATGGTGCATAACCCGCTAACGCGGCGCGGCTATCGAGTCGCTCGCGGCCAATTTTTCAAGTGCGGTTTAGGCTGATAACAAACTGACGCGGCCATCCGCTCGCGACTATTCGCGTCAGTGGGTTATCAGCTTTAGGTAGCGGCCTTGCGTCTGGTTGACCACCCGTCCGTGTCCTGCCCATTGTCTAAGATCAAGAAACTGTAGTAAAACGAAGCGTTTCACGGATGCCCTGTGCTCCAAGTGGGAGCAACAGGAACATGGACGGATGGATGGATCCATAGGTAGATGGGTAGATGGGTAGAAGGAAAGACGGATGGATACCAAACAACTTACACTTAATGGATTTTAAAATCTGATATATTATACTTATGGAGCTGGGCCCTTCTTGAGGAGAAGACAAATCTGCAGTTACTCAGTAATTTCCCAGCATTTTATGGAACCCCAAATTTCATTACCGTGTCCACAATAGCCCTCCACTGGTCCCTATCTTGAACCAGAACAATCCGTCCCATATCATCCCATCCTATCTCTCTAAGACCCATTTTAATGTTGTCCACCCACCTACGCCTTACTTCTAACATTCCACATACCAAACCTTATGTCCATTTTCTTTACCTTAGGCCGTTTATCCAGAGGATCCGTCCAGTTCCGAGGCTTTATGTACATTTTCGCAACAAAGTTATTTTTTACGGTGAGGAGTTGTTAGCCCCACGCCCAACCCTACAGCTGGAGGACCACCCCTTATCTGCTGTCCGTAATTGCGTATTCAATATATTTTCAGCTACCCTCCATATGTGGAGGCCGTCTCCTCCATTCACAACCTGAGGACGCTCCATGCCATGG